TCGCATCAGCGGCTCCAGCTGTCATGGATTTGCGCTCAGTAAACGTAGGGTTAGAGACCTGACTAGGTGTGTAATCGGAGCAGGTTACTTCACTTAAGTTGCCTTCTATTTTTGGAGTAGAGACCCAAAAGAATAAATTATTTTTTCTTCTGAGTGTAATGATGCATGCCTGTAATCTCAGAACTCTGGAAGGCTGAGACAGGAGGATAAACTTGAAGGTAAACCGTGAACTCAAGGGGGAGTTTGGTAAGTCCCAAGAATTAAAAAAAAGCTGGAGATGTAGCTCGGTGTGAAAGTTCTGGATTCGATTCCCAGTACCTTAAAAATATATGTACGTATTTTTCCGGTACTGAGGATGGAACGCAGGAGCTCATTACCACTAAGCTACACCCGCAGTCCTTTGCAGATTTTATTTTGAGCCAAAGGTCTCGCTAAATCACCTTTACGTTTCAATCCTGCCTTGGCCTCCGAAGTAGACGGCATTACAAGCATGTTTAAAGTTTTTTTTTTTTTTTTTTTGCTTTTTGAGACAAGGTCTCGTTACGTAGCCCAGGCTGACCTCGAACTCTTGGCGAACCTCCTGCCTCAGCCTCCCAAGTGCTGGGGTTACAGGCGTGTTCTCTACTCCTGGCTAATGGTACATTACAGCGCCGAGAAAGCTCCGGGCTAGCCCGGCCCGTGTCTTTCCAGTTTAGTTCCTGACTTCTCTTTGCTCCTTGCAGCTACAGTACCATCGGGTGGGTTCTTAACGCACACCGAGTTCCTAGGAGTGCCGACGCTGCACGTCTCACTGTTCTCCATCCCTGAAGTCCACTCGGTCTTCCAGGGAAACCTGGGGCCACAGAGCAGCGGGCGGCACAGCAGGCTGACCGTTATAGCGGCCCCTTTGTGCTCCAGGTCGGACGCGGATTTTCACACTCTTAAAGCCAAATGAGAGTGGTTTTTTTGTTGTTTTGAATTGGGGATCAAACACAGGACCTTGGGCCTGCAAGGCGGGGGCAGCCCCACCGAGCTAAATCCCCAGCCCTTGAGAGTGTTTTCAGGGCACCAATCCAACTTCGAATGTTCCAGAAAAATGGATCAGCGGTGGAAGTCCTGTCCCGAGGGAGGTGGCAGCCCGAGCCTGCTCCTTGACCCGTTGTCTTCCACACGGGTTCTGTACACTTGGCTACATATAAAACGCTCCAGCTCACAGTAGTTACGTAGGTCCTTCTAAAATCTACATGACTTCTGAGATTCAATTTCTAAGTCTGTTACGTAAACAACAAAAAAAATCACAACTCACACTGACTTTTTGCACAATCTAATGCTGGTTGGTTCACACTGACAGGACAAACGGTAATGCTCTGCACTTCATACAATAAATATAACACAAAAAATATTCCAGTTCATAAATAGAAGCTTTGAACATTCAAAATATAGAACATATGTATAAAATCTCTCCAATTAAATGCCAGGCTACAGTTTTCACTATATGTATATATATGTCAATACAGAAGTATATTTTTCTAATATCTTCAATTTCAGAGATACCTTGGTGATAGCTTGGAGGATAATTTTATTATACTGAGCTTTTTAGTAATTGGTCATAACCAGTAAATCAGTGGAAGGGCCTGATTATCATAATACAAAGCAAAATGTCTATGGCAAAAGTAACATTTGGAGGAATATATAGTTTTCCATTTCTAGATAAATGGCGATATTAAAGATAAAAGGGAATATGTTAGATCTGGAACATGTTGGTGTCTTCAGTATCAACTCTGTAGAGCAATAAAGGCCAAAGTGAGGGGTTTCAGGAAGGCCAAAATAATAGATCACTCCATTTCGCTGTTTATAAAAATGACATTGGCAAGAACCAGGGAGGTGGGAGGGGAAAAGGGACAAGAGAAAAGTGAAAATGGAAAAAAATTGAAACAAAGCTTTTGTACATAGGGAGGGGACTTGGGGGCTGGAATGGGATAAAATAAAATTTATATTAAAGATGACAGCATTCTTCTAAGGCAAAAAAAAATTTTGTTTTTGAGACAGTCTCACTATGCTGTTCAGACTGGCCTTGAACTATGTAGCCCATGCTGGCCTCAAACTCATGGTGATCCTTCTGCCTCAGCCTCCCAGAGTGCTGGGATTACAGGCATGTGCCACCACTCCTGGCCCGTTAAAATGTTTAAGTACCTCAAAAGTTAATAAATATACCAAGTCTCAGTATCCTCAATTTTTCGTATAGATTAACCTCCACTTTATATATCTTAAAACACGGTCTTTATATAAAAAGCTGGACTAATAACAATGGTAAAGGAGACAAAACTGAAGACATGTATGCCTCTACTCAAAGTTATGGTGATGCCCAAGAATACTCAGTAAGTGCTAAAAGGGCTTTAATACTTTTGTTTAATACTGCTGGTGCTTGCCTATTATATAATTTTTGGCAAGATTTACTAGTTATTTAAGAAGTTACTTAGTAAATGGACTATTTAAAGAGATGCTTAATTTTAAAGTAATCTGAGAAAATGTATGCTTTTCTGAAAGTAGAAATATGTATATAATTCTAAAGTCCTTAGTGTAATTTCTTAATTCTCAAACTTACATAATCTTTCAGTAAATCATAAACATTAAGATCTGTTACAAGCATGCTTACTTTCAGAAAAGATATCTGCTCTGTAGTTTACAAGGAACTTGGCTTGTGAATGTAAATATAAATGAATCTGTATTCACATCCTATTTCCATATATTCCATGCCCTATATTGACTTTCACTGAGTATTTTTGTTTCAAATTTTAAGCTTAATGAAAGCTTGCAACTGGGGTGGGCAGAGAAATGTATAATTAGATTAAAATGGTTCAGTGTATCATAGGTGGGTATGTAACAATTCAGCTGTCATTGATCCACTGATACTTATTGTCCGTTTCTTCTTTCTGAATTCTTTGTTCTTCTCGGTGGTTAGCTGCAGTCCAAAATGTTATTTTTTTGAGTACTTGTTGTAGAAGTTTAGGAGGTAATAGAGATATCTGACTTTTTAAAATGATAGCATTTTTACCAATGCAGTCAAGGCATAACCTGTAAATAAAACATAACAGAATTATTCATCTTTGAACCCAAAGTTATAATACAAAATATTTATAGTATTCCTTGTTCCCTCCCGAAGTGCTGGGGATAGAAACAAGGGCCTCGTTACTACTGGCAAGCACTCTACCACAGAACTAAGCCTCCAGCCCTCCTTAAATATTCTTAAAAATAAAAATAATTATACAAAGTTTATACAACAATGTACTTCTTTTGTATTGTTTGGAACCTGAGAAGAGTTTTCTTAGAGCTACAATAATCATGTGTTTTTACTGCACAGAGACTGTATCAAAGTGAAGTCCAATGGGAACAGTGCCCTCACCACGTATAAAGGTCTTCAATTGAAAAGATGCAGCCCTGATCTGAAAGCAGATCAGTCTGTCCCAGGTCCTCTTGCACACATTCTCCAGTAGCCTGGTACCTATTTCTCCTTCTCCAGGATTTTTTTCCTGTCACCTCAAGATGAAGTATCTGACATCCATCTTCACACCAAGTAACCAGCCCACCCCAAACCTCTGCCAGTGCCTGCGCTAGGGAGGACAGGGCAGTTCCAGAAAGGCGGAGCCGCAATACACAAACAGCCAAGAGACCAGTTGGTTTCCACTCTTCAGCTGCCTGGTGATCATCTCACCCCCTTTAATCTCACTTTATGGTAGTAATTTCCAATACCACTCCCTTTTTATCTTATGCTATTGTAAGATGGGTTTGGGCTTTAAAACCAGAAGCAAGGCTGGGGATTTAGCTCAGTGGTTCTGTGCCTGCTTCACAAGTGAAAGGACCCGAGTTCAATCCCTGGTACAAAAAAAAAAAAAAAAAAAAAAAAAAAAACCAACAAAAACAAAAAATCCCAGAAGCAACTTAAGAATTATCAAAAAAATCTAATGGCTAAACTTTAATTTTAAAATACAATAAACTTTTTTTAAAAGTTTACTATAACTAGGCAGCTCATTTCTACCAGTATTAGGGATCAACCCAGGGTTTCTCAAATGCTAGGTAAATACCATACTACTGCACAACAACCCCGTCCCCTGTGGTTTTAGTTATCATTTCACAAGCATTTATTCATACTCTTACAGATTTATATGTTCTTCCGTACTATGATGAAGCCTCTTCTCTCTGCTGGTCCCACACAGACACAAAAGGACAGGAGTCTCTGTCCTGGTGCCCACTGTGCTGAGGGAAGTGAGAGGCCAGGCGGGGTGGCTCTGTCCTGACCTCACCACTTCCACACACACTAAGTGCTGTCTTAGAGCTAGGAAACCCAACACTGAAAAACCCGTTTCAGCTTCCAGCAGAGTATGATTTGGTGAAGAAATAATAAAGTGCTAGTGTGCTGTGACCGGGGCACGGTGACATTCCATATCAGGGGCAGGGTTCCGCGGGAATCAGGAGGCGTCATGAGACAGACTCAAGGCAGGCGACGCTCCCCTGACGGCAGCTCCACGGGGCCCAAGGGCCTCCAAGTGAAAGCAACCAAGACGCTCTGAGGAAGGCTTGAACCTGCGAAGCCGGAGGGGAGAGTGGGTTCTGTCACAGAGAATACCGTCTTCGGAGGGCAGCAGGGCCCAGCGAGCACGACGGCGGAGCTGGCACATGCAGGGAGCCTCCCTGCCATCTGGGAATTGCTCCTGAGAGGTGCAGGCATTTCCCACGGAATAAGCAAGAATATTCAAGAAATGGTGCCTACTTTTTATAACAGCTCTAAACTGGAGGCATCCTAAATATGTGCCATTAGTCTAGGAAATTACACTTTCATGCGACAGAACCTTCTATTGCCATTAATATTACATACACAGGGCTATGAACTGAATACTATTGACAAAAGCTTTAGATGTAGGTTATAAAAGTGTGTAGTTCGAGCCACAGAGAGCGGGTTCTCAGGACAGCGGGGACCCGGGCCTCACGCACCGCTCAGGTTCTCTCGCCTTCCCCGCATGCCCAACCTTCCTCCCTCCTGAACCGCTCCCTGCTGCTGTCCGGAATACACTTGGATGTCCTACCAACATCTCTGCCTCCTCTGCTTCCCTGTCCTTGCTTACTCAAATCTCAGACAATGCCCTGCGCGCAGCCTTCCGCCTCCAGTCCCTGTCCAGGCATCGCCTTCGCCTCTCCCCGCCCCAACCCGCAGGCACTGGGACTTGGCGGGTTCATCAGCGCCTTTCTGTGGTCCTAACGTCTCTAAGTACAGAAACCCTTTCACTCCTGGCCTCGCTCAGGATGTTGCCCCCTAAACGGCTGAACCCCACATCCTTTCACCCTTCTTTCCAGTTCTCACGCCTCTCTCCTTTGCCCGTCCGCCCTCCGCAAGTGGAGTCCCCGCAGCTGCGCCTCTTTCCCACCAGCCTCATCCGATCTCCTTTCCCACTGCGTCCTTACGGTCCTGACCAAACCCCCACCCGGACGCTCCGTCACCTTCCCGCCGAGCTGCAGAGGGTGAGCAGGGTCCTCAGCGCGTCCCTCACCGGTCCCTCAGCCCGCGCAGCATCCCCTCCGGCCTCTCACAGCTACCTGAAGTCTGCAGCCCTGCGTTCCCACTCGCCTCCCCGTTTTCTTATCAGATGGCCTTGCTCCACTAAAACTTTCTCACTCTGCTGTCCTAAACCTATACATTTTTGTCTTTAAAGACACACCCCTTTCTCTCTCCACTACTTTAAAATTACTCTCTCAGTCAAGGACTAATTCGACTGCAAAAATCTACTTCTCAAGACCGCCAATTTGCTCTTCCTTGTCTTGTATTTCCAACAACTTACTTCTTACTGGCTTCTTTCCATCAGCATTTAAACAAACCTATGCGCCTCCTCCCTGGACCTCAGGCCCAGTACCCGGTGCCTCCTCACCCGGATACTCAAACAGCTCTTCATCCCTGCGCATGAAGAGCTGGAATCTACCCCGGTAGTTATGTTCACAACAAAGGCTGAGCAGCACTGCAAATCATGAGAGCAGTGGTTTTCAAAGTTCAGGCTATGGAACCCTGGGGATCGAACGAGGACATCAATGTTTTTTGATGCTCCCCTTGAGATTCCAGAAGGAGTCAAATTTGGGTGACCACACACAGAGAAGGACAAAGGCCTCAGGAAGGCCGGGCCTGAGCTCACGCAGCATTCTGCACAGGCTCCGGCTGCAGAGCGCTTAGAATTTCCAGTTCACCTCAGCCATGAAGAAGAAGAAACTAGAGGCATTTACAGCTAAATGGGTGCTCACTGAGGCCATACTCTTAAGTGAAATAAATAGGACACACATGGAAATACCGAATCGTTCCTCTGGTGTGAGAAACTAAAAGTGTAAATAAGATCCAAATTGTATAATGGATAATATGAAATAGGAAGAAAGGGGCTAAAGGTGTAGGGGAAGTGGGAAGGGTAGGGGAAAGGAAATAAGGGAAGAGAAACAATATGAGAAAATGAAAAAATGGAAATAAAGTCTTTGTAAATAGGGGAGAGTGGAAGGAATGAAGGGAGGGCAGGGACAAGGGGAAAAAATGAGAACCAACATCTGTCATGGAAAGGTACAAGATCCCAATGATGAATGTAACTGTACTGTGTGCCTAAAAAGTACCAATAAACTCCATGAAAAAAGAAACAAAGTATAAATAAGAATCAAAATGTATAATAAATCATGTAAAATAGGAAGAAAAGGTCCAAAGGGAAAGGGGAAGTGGGAGGAATCAGGGAAAGGAAAATATATGAGAAAAGGAAAAAATGGAAACAAAGTCTTTTAGGGAGGAGTGGAACGGTTGAAGGGCAGAGGATGGGGAAAAAATAAGAACCAAGATACATCATGTAAAGGTACAAATTCCCAATGATGAATGTCATCATACTGTATATCTAAAATGTACCAATAAAATTAATGAAAAAAGAAAAAAAGAAGTTCTAGTTCATGCTTCCTTGAAACATGGCTCCTTCTCTCTCCCTCTCCCCCTGGCCCTCCTAGGCCTTTACCCCTGTTATTCCCACTGCATAAAATACCCGCACCTGTTCACGACCGCTTCTCTCGGACCCTTCCTTTCCACTCCCACAGGCACAAAGGCAGTCACAGGGCTTCTGCCACCACCCTCCCCTCCCACTGAACTGCAGGAGCACAAGTTCAGGACACTAAGTCACCCACAGATTTGAAATTAAAAAGATTACTTTGTACTCAATGCATATATGTGCTGTATTTATAGAAAATATATAAATAACAGATATATTCTGATTTATAAGGGTTAAAATATTAAAATGTTCAGCTTAGAATTAAGGAACTGTAGTATGTTTAATATTGCCATATATATTAAAAGCAGTTTTATAAACAATACAAAAATGTGATTGTATTGTATATTTAATTTTTAAAAGTCACATTGGTACATGATTCACCATTGTGAGTATATTCTTAGGAAGATGTAAACATTTTCTTGACTTCAAGTCATAAACTACCTGAGAAAGATTATAACTCTTCCCCAAATGAAATCAGTATTCATAGTATACACATGAAACAAACTAGATTTGCACTTCCCCTCTGGCTTTTCACCCCCTCCGTCCCTCCATCCCTCCCTCCATCCCTTTTCTGCCTGCCCTGGCCCTGCCCCTACCCCCTACCCACTCTTTTCCATGGAAAACAAAAACAAAACAAAACAAAAAAACTAGATTTGCTTACCTGAGTAGTGAGTAAGGCTGTGTCTGAAAGATCAGTAAATCATTACAATGACCCTAATCAACATAAAAAAGATTTTATCAGGGATTGTGATCAAAATAATAATGCATTAAATATTGAACTTTTTAATTTTATAAATGTAAAGGAAATTATGTAAAGTGACAAATATATTTCTCTCCACCTGCTAACACACACATGAAAGCACACATACAAGTGTACACACCCCCACATACACACATGCCTGCCAGCTACAAAGTCTGGGCATGTACATACCAAACTTCAGGGACCAAGCTTTTACCTAATCAATATGCGCAGATGCATAGGTCCCGAATTTGATCCCTGGTACAAAAATGTGTGTGTGTGTGTGTGTGTGTGTGTGTTTTAAGTGTTTTAAGTGTTTTAACAAAATAGTTTTCTCCTGCTGGGGATTCTCACAAGCTCAAGGTCCTGAGTTCAATCCCTGGTACCAAAAAAAAAAAAAAAAAAAAAAAA